GGAGGTGATTTGAGACAGCCAGCATAGCTTCTATGCTAGAAAGGAAGTCTGATAGCAAACACCTGATGACAAGTGTAACAAGGCTCTGGTCCTTATTTTGATAGGTCTTTGAAAAACAATTTGTTGGAATGACTAGGAAAACAGCACTCACATCTATTTCATCTTTGTATGACAATAAAAAAATCAGTTTGTTTTGGATAAAAACAAAAAAAAATTGTTTTGGATACTTAACTTCACCATTCAAAAGCCTCTCCCCAACCCAGCCAGATCACTCTTTGCTAGAACTAGCACAGGTGTATCCATTCATTCTGAATGCATCTCTTAGGTTTGACAGGTTAATGAAGCATTTAAATTACCTACCTGTATATTTGCTCAAGACCACCTGAGCTGCTGGAATAGCATTCATTTGAACAATGTTGTACAGATACAGTTCAGTGTTTCTGTTGCTTTTATCCTGCAGCGTTGAACATACCCAGTGGGCATAGCCTTTTGCTCCCTCAGTCTCAAGAAACAAACAAAAAACCCCAAAATAGGAGTCATTAAACCTACTCAAGCAACAGTGAAATCATTAAAGATTATAATAGCAATTCTGTGTTTTAGAGCATATTCTTGGCTAAAAATCTGCAACAGTGTTAAGCAGGAGAAGAAAACATGAAACAGAATTACTCCATACACAGTTTTGACTTGTCCCTTGGGTGAAGAGAATTCTTACATTAACATATCACTTGCTGCACCCCTGGAGAGATGACAGATGAAAAAAGCTATAAGAGAATGTAAAGTTCTCCGCTTTCTTAGAACTCAGGATACTAGCAATATCCTTGCTCTCTCCTGGAATAGTTATAATTTATGCCTTTGATCTCTGTCCAATTCTGTGTAACATCAAGAATGTTTTTTTCACAATTTACAGAGGTGATTTCTTGGACCACTGGGACTAAAGCATTTAATAAAACAACTGCCTGCTATTCAGTGTCAGCACAGGCCACAAACAACAACAAGGAAGTCAGGCAATCTCAGCTGGAACATAACCGTAACTGTTTCACTATTTGAGGCTTGCCTCTTTTTTAAAAACTTACATCATCTAAGTAGAGAGATTTGATATGTAGAAACTTCAGGATAATACAACTGTTATACTTACATGCATACTGAGTTCAGTTGTGTGCCTGAAGAGATCCATGGTGTCATAGCTGCCTACTGTCTCTGCAATAAGAGCCTGCAGAGAAGCAAAAATCGCTGTGGTCAGGTACTTTAAAAATTATGACATCGACAAGTAACTCAGCACACGTTACTTCAGGTACAGCTTAGGCATTTAACACAAAGACATTTTCTTTTCCTCATGCTGTGCAAGAAACATCAGTTTTAAGAATAAAATGAACACAATTAAAGGGAGCACAAGCAGTTTCCACTGTACCAGTACTCAAAACTTATGGTCTCCTGCTGCTACTTTACATTCTTCAGGGCAAAGACTTTGTGTGTGTTAGCACAACCTACATCTGATAGGAGATGAATTTTGACATGTGAACGTTCTAGTTCTTCCCTAGAATCCAGTTTCAATTAGACATTATTAGCAGGTTAGCAGCATGGGATTACGAAGTGCACCTATAGTGATCATAAAAGTATAAATCACAAGTCTTTCTACTATTCACAGATGGCCTAGATACCAGTGGGAGCATATCCAGCCCTCAGTGGTAGGGGAGGAAGGGTCATCCCAAGAAGTAAGAACTGCTTTTGTCCCAGGTACCTTAGAGGCTTACTCTTTATAATAGTGGTGGTAGAAGGGGGGTGCAGAGAAGAGAGTTAAGCAGTGCCATATAATGAGCTAGAAGTACAGCTGAAGCTGAAATAACTAGCACCTTATGAAGAGAGTGCTTTGTTGACAGTGCTCAATAAAAAGGTTCAGAGCACACACAGTGATTGTTTTTTTCATAACTAATTCCTTACAGAACTCACAGCATCAGCCAGAAAAACACTGTCTAAAGATATCTGATTTCAACATAAATTCCCATTGTATAACCAGTATGGAAAACAGAGTCCCATCCACCCTCAGGGGAAGTAGAAGCTCCCTTTCCTTAAAACATTTAATTTCAGGAACATGCTTAAGGGCCAATTATTAGGACAGAGTCCAAGTCTTCTGTTGACTAACAACTGGTTTTGGTGCACAGTTACAATTTTTCATTATCTTACCTGCCCAATCCAACACAGTAAGTAAGAAGGCTCCAGGGACTGAGCTACCTTGAAGGCTTCATGAGCTTGCTGTAGAACCAAAGATAACAGTGCTATTGTACTGTCTGGCATGGCAACAGAGCACTTTTGAGTATACGTGGGTATTGACATACAGTAGTATTGGAAGAGATTTCATGGACAAAATTATGTCACTATTAAAAACACCTATTCTCTCGTTGCCCAGAGAAATAAACTAGTTCAGTCTTAGCTACAAAAAAAACCAAACCAACCAACTAAAATCTTTACAAGATCAAAGTTCTCCTCCCTTCCAAATATAATTCCTTCTTAAAACAGTTCAGCAGCTAGATTACCCCTTAAAACAATTATTTTAAAATCTGACTCTTGGAGGATCCAGTTTTGGAAATTTGCTTTTCCTTCATGCAAACAAACACATTTTCAAAATGGTAAAACTGATTACCACCCACAAATTATCTTTTCCTTCATTATATATGATTAGAGTTCCTCCCTCAACATGGCATAAGGTGAAAAAAGTTTTCACATTAGTAATCCTAGCAGTAAGCAGTCTGCAGTATCAGATAATAATTACTAATAATAATTTAATATTTTTAGTAAAAATAATTCTGACCATCACACTTCCAATTAAACAAAAAAATTTCTGTAATTCTGACCAGTGAATAGGATAGGATGTAATTTTTGCTGCATGACAATGCTGGACTTCACTTGAGATGTACTCCAATTTTTCTCCAGAGAAACGCTGAAGGTTACACAAAGTTACAGTAAATCATATGACATGCTGATAAGCAGAAAGTAGCTACCTATGGGAAACTCAAACCCAAAGTTCAGTTTATGACTTACAATTGAAAGAGTTCTTGGTCAAACCTGGTGTGCATTGATTTGATTAACTACTTCTTAGTCCTCCCAAATGCTTTTCATTCCACCCAGTTGCTTGGAAAGCAACCTCACCAATTCAAAAGTTCACTTATCTTCTCCAGAACAAATATTTAATTCATTTCTGTGCCTCAAGTAAGGTACAGGCACCAATTTTATTTAATTGCAAGGAAGTACGTTTCATGAATCTGAGAGGAACATTCTTCACTGTTTGCCCACACTCATGCCCCGATACACTCCCTTAACAAAAAAAAAAAAAAAAAAAGGAAAGGGAAACTATATTTGAGGATGGGAAAGAGCGTTACCTCAATGTTTCCAGTTGCCAGATACAAAACCCCCAAGTTGGTCCAGGCAACAACATTCTAGGCAGAACAAATAAAGTTAAAACCAATATATTATTACTATATTCAAAAATAACACTGCATCAGGGGAAAAAAGTTTTAAATGCCCAGTTGAAACAGATGGCAGCTGCCTACAGCACTTACGATTTGCTCAGCTTGAACAGATTTGATGAACGAATGTTGAGCAAGAGCATAATTCCCAATAGCTGGGGGGGGGGAAAGAAAAAACGAGAGCTAGATCTAACTGAATTTCATAAATACCATTAGTCAAGTTGCCTTCTAATTTAGGATATTATGGAGCTGGGGGGTTCACTGAAGACTTACCACTACAGGAAGCAACTACACCAAGTGCATTCCAATAAAGATGATTTTTGCTATCAAGCCTCACAGCTTTTTTGAGACACTGGAAGAAAATCAAATGTGGATTATATCACTAGAACAGCAAAAATGAATACACTTATTCAGAGACGTAGGCTTTATTGACGACAGAGAGAGTATGCAGACAAGCAAAAACACAATTTAAATTTTAAAGAATGTAACAGGAAATACCTGTAAAGACTTCTCTAGCTGTTCACTGATCTCATTCATGTCAGTGCCCAATGCTGTGAGGTCTTCTGCCTGTCGATAATAATTTATTCCAAGATCACACCATATGCTAGGCAAAGGCATCAATTTTAAAGCTCTGCCATAACACCTACAGAAACATGAATCACAGAAGTATTATTCCAAGCCTCTCTACATGAGGAGCAGAAAGCTGAAAAAACATTCAGAAGAGTGCTTAAAAACCTGAACCAAGCAAACATGCATAAACACAAACAAAACCAAACAAGAATGGAATGCAAACAACAACTAACCGACAGTTATCTTCACAGAATCTATCCTGGTCTAAAGGCAGTCTGTAATGCCCACCACTTGTGAAGCCACAAATGTGCATTAAATCAAAGCTGTGTCAGATGCAATATGCATGCTTTTACTTCAAACAAACATCATTCATTTTTACAGTTAATCAGCCTTCCCCTAGGAAGCATCTGACTTCACATATTGTGGCTGAAATTTACTAAGCAGCTGCATTTCCTGCCTTACAAATCCAACTGCACAAAGCTCAGAGGGAGTCACAGAACAGGCTACAGAAACACTACAAATATTTGACCATCATGAGCTTCCAGGGACAGAAACAATGAATTCCCTCTTCCAAAGTACTCTAAGACACCATACCTAGGGCAAGACCTGATACCATTTTTATAAGAAAGAAGTACAGACAGAAAGCTTAAACTATTGTCTTTGACTTTAGTAGTCCTGGGAGAATTAGTTAGCTACTACTGAAACCACTCCATTTAAAGAGGCACAATTTGCTGAGTGACAGGCAGGATGTAGCCATGCTCTGGAGACAGAAACAAGAAGAGCAGGTGCTAGATGAAGTGTTGACAGCCACTATGGCAATGAAGCAAACATATTCTGAAATGAGCAGTGTGATTTGGAAGAAGCATGCAACCCAATTTACCACCTCATTAATCTTTGCTCAATAATGCAGGTGTCAACAGATCAGCGTGTCTTTCATTTTCTAGAAATGAAAGTCTAGAATACATTAAACTTTACACAGAGTCTCAAGCTGCACAGAAGCTATTGATAATAAAAAATCATTACCTTCCTCCCAGTCTGAGCAGCTCACTTTTATTCAGCATCTGTTTGCCTGCATTTTTACCCAGAAGGTATCCTAGAACTTGAACGTTCACTTTCGTTGGTGAAATAACATGCACGCTAGTACAGGTATCTCCAAGCAGTTTCCAGAGGCAAGATACATCAGGACGGTGCTTTGTTGCCCTGTAATTAATAATATAGAAAATCCACACAACACCCATTCAGACGCTTCAATATCGTTTTCTGAAAGAAAGTTCACCGCTTTTGCAGAGTGGCACAAACTTAAATGTAATTAGTCAATAAGCTGTTTGATTTATTTTTTTAATTCAGTTTTCTTCCTATGCAAGCTGTAAGTCTAAAAGGTCAAAAATAACCAAAAAACCTACAAAATGCCAATGTATCCCAACTTTGCTGGGACTAAGAGTCAGTTCCAAAAATTTGGTGTTATCTATCAACATGTCAGCTGACTACACCCACTCTCGCATTTCAGAGCACTATCATGTTACATTACAAGACATGACTCATGTGCAGAAACCTGATGGACGTTCTCCTGTAACAGCAGCTATCCCAAGGTTTAATTTAGGACACTAAAACATTTTGTACGACATGCAAAACAAAAAGATTGAGGGAGGGAAGAAACAATTTCTTCTCATCCACCATTTTTGGTAGAAATCTCTTCCTCCCAGTCCCATATATACAGAAAGATAGCTGGAGAGAACTGTGTGTCATTTCACACTTGTGTTGCAATCAAAAGACTCTGTATCTTCAAATAGAAAAAACAGAAGTCTATAATTACCATTCATTTAAGCAGCCTAATTCCAGAACTCATTATTCAACCATTTTCAATAAGCACATTCTTACCGCCAGATTACAGGCCTGGTCCATTATATTTATTTTAACTGAAAATCCTCAAACACTTAACTCTTATTCTTATACCTGTCAGCCCACAACCCCAGTGAAAATTAAATAACTGAATATTTAGTACTAACCTTGTAAAAAAATCAAGAGCTTGCTCTATGTAATCCACAGCCTTCCTATCAAGATAGTTATCAAGGGCTGATCTTCCTAGCATGAGATAGCACTCACCAAGCCCTGAAAAGAAAAGAAAATATCCTTTATGAAAAGTGATAGTTTTTATGATCTGCATGATAAAGGAGGTGGGATGGGAGAGTGGAAGCCTGCGCAGTGTTCTGCTTGATATAAAGATTTATACCCTGCACATGCTATGCCAAAATCAAAAGACCTACTGTGCTCACAACAGAGACTTTGCTTTTAACTACCCTGTCAAGTGTGAACTGTAGAATAATTTGAATATTAAAATAAACCTAATTTATTATAAAAAATATAGCATTTAAGCTTTGGGTTTGTCCTCAAATGTTAACTATAGCCCTGATGAGAAATCTGTTCTGCATTGGTAAGTCTTTGACAAATACTTTGACAAATACCAACTTTCATTTCACATGAGTCAAAATCATTGCCAAAACACAAAAAGAAGAAAGAATGCCAAGGTAGGCAAAAGGGGAAGTTGTCTTTGAAGAATACTTAAAATCAACCTTATTTAATCCTACTTATGTAAGAATTTACTTCATATGGAAATAAATCCAACTGTTAAAAAGGAACTGCATCTAATGACACATTTCTAACATTTTGGAAACAAGATCACCACTTGGTTTATACGCTTGCTGGCACCAGCAGTGATTATGACTGGCAGTAAGTCAGTGGCTACGAGTACCATTCATTCTCAGTATTATTTTCACAGTTCTGAAGCTACTTTCCTCATGCTACCGTACCCTGTACCTATACCAAACTAATAATCACAGTAGTCATGTTTTACAAGCATCTTTATCTTGCCCCCACTAGGTATTTGTCTTGATCACACAGAAGTCCCAAGCTCATGAGCTTCTCAGATGTCAAGAAGTTCTGTAATCAAAACCCAAAATTTATTTTATTCCTCAAAGTTATACATTAAAAGATATGCTGCAGCAAAGGCTGAATAACCATATCATTTAATAAAACAAAAATAAAATGCATCAAAAAGATGCATTCAAGTAACAGGAGTTTAGCTTTCTCTCACCTACTAGGAGACTATGCTTCCAACAACTCAATTCAGAAACCATCTAAACTGATCAGAACAGTAGCCAAAGTACACTGAGGTATGTTTCACAAAGTTTTAAGAAGGCCCACAAAAGACAGCAAACCAGACTAAATGTTAAACAGTCTGTAAGAAGGTGAAGAATGTTTTGGGACTCAAAGTAGGATCTGGAGCTAACAAATCAGATATTAGGATAAGAAGGATTATGAGAAAAGACTTAGGAGACTTAAGTAAACAATAAGTATAGAGGCAACCGAGGAGGGGGGGAAACCTTGATACCATGTGCTTATGTCCTCTTCAAGCATTTTATCCTAATTAACGCTGTCAACTGTCACCTACAGACACTAAAAAAACCATATACACATGCACACTTCTAATCGACACCACTGCAAACTGCTGCTGCAGTCAGCTGTTGCCATCTTGTTTGACAAGCAGTTAAACTGCCTATCCACAATACTAACTCCATCATAGAGCTTTTGCCATGTCACTTTAGTCTGCCAAACCCCAAGTGACAAAATTATACAGGAGGAGGTAGAGGGACAACCACCCTGTTGCCCTCTCAGATGAAAAACTTACTGTTCCAATAGTAATGCAACAACTCTGACTTAAGTCTTACAAGAATTACCTTATATGCACCCAAAAATCAAAAGGCCTTACACACAACAGAAGAATACTCCAGAACTTAAAAATTCATACTAGCACCAAGCAGCAAACAGCATGTATTTCAGATGAATGTATGGGGTGAGAATGACTGAAGACTAAGTGGCAGGGAGAATGTGAATCGAACAGTTACTCACTGGCTATCGAAACGTTATAGGCTCACAATATTATGTACCTTGAGAATCATTATTCTGTCACCAGAAAGGAGTTCCAGTTCCCCAGTTTCTCTCTGCTCCCAGTTATGTACTGAAGACCTCTACCTATCACCACCTCTAACACTTGTGAGACCTCTCGGGATACTTTACTGCTATTTTTCATAACTTGAAGAAGGTCAGAGGGGTCTGAATCACCAGTGCTAATACAAAAAGCGAGGAACACACAGTCAGGAGCAGAAAATTAGGACAACCCACCTCTTTGAAATGGCAGCCTGACTCCATTGCCTGTTGAGCCAGTTTTTTACTGTTTAGGAGAAACTGCAGCACTGTTAGCTGGCTTCCTCTATCTATCTTCAATTCTTCTACCCATTTGGCCTGGTAGCTGCACAGGACTAATTACCTTTCATACTTACTTGAAAGAGAAATGATCACTCCCATGCATCATGATTTAAGAGCTCTTCAGATATTTGCAAGCTACTACACACTAGCTTTCATGTAGGGGATCACAGTCCTCTACACACCCAAAATCCAACCCTATCCTTCCATGTAGGAAAACCTCAATACACCAAGAACTTCTCCACAAAACAGAAGCACTGCAGTGTGTAGAGGGAGAGTTAACGCTTTCAAATTCAGACATATTACCTTTCAGTGCAGGCACATAATCTTCTGTCTTCTTTAAGATTTGTTGATAGGTAGCTATAGCATTTTCATATTTGCCTAGAATCTGCTCAATCGCTGCAGCTCTGTAAATGCTGTACACAAGCTCTGGGTTCAGTTCATTTGCTTTCCTGAAGGATTTTAGAGCTGTCAAATAGCTACCTCTGCTCAAGTAAGCCTCCCCTAGAGACTCCCAGCAGTTGGAATCCTTTGGATCAGCCCTGAGAGCTGCCTGCAAACTGAAGATATCAAGATATAAATTTCTTTAAATAAAAGGTGATACAAGTTAACATAAACAAATTATTTCCTTGCATTACATATTCTCAGGACACACACACACAGTTATACAGAACTTTTAAACACAGCATAGTAGTGTTTTAATCTTCAGAGCACATTATACAGCTTTAGACTTTGTACCTAATTTTGGCTCATTATTCAGTGCTATACCATGCTTATCTATGGCAAGCTTGCCACCAGGCTTGTTAGTACAGAACACTGCTATGCTGAAAAGACTACACTGTGCTAATTCTGGAACTGAAGATAGACACACCTTGCTCAGACCCATTTCCCATTGTTTAGTACCAGCCATCCTATAATCAGCTAACTTATTGTCAAAACTTGCTCAGATCAAAGGCTGTTTTATTGGGATTTATAGAAAATGCCTTAAATCAACCACTACTTCTCTTACTCAGCCACTGCTTGTGACGGTTGACCAGTCCTCAGATAGTAAAGCCCACGATGAAGCCAGGCCCATTTTGCTGTACCTGTACTTGCTTTTTCAGTTACCTCATTCAGGATTGACAGAGCAGTGTCCTAACAAAGCACCAAAAATGCCAGGTTAGTAAACATATATATGTGTAAAGAACAATGTTCTTGAAAAGAAGAATACTCCTAATCCAGCAAACCATTAAACTGTCTAATCTGTTAATTAGTGTAATGAAGAAATGTTACAGGTGCTTTTTAAAGCTGGCAGGTTGAGTGGCAGATTAGAGAAGGAAATTATCACATCTAAAGACGTGATTATTTCTTATGTACCTGTCTTTGCAAATAGACAGTAGATTCCTGCAGTTTTGTAGAGCTTTGCTTTTTTTCGAACTAGACAAGGATATAAGTATTTGCAGCAAGTCAGATACTTAGACTGATTTTCCAGATGTTACAATGGAGTCTGTCAAAGTATGGGATGCACTTGCTTTATAATATCATAGGCTAAGAACTTTTTATAGAATGCTGTATCAGAAATATTTTTTAAAATGTTCTGATGACTTTGTATGCTTTTCCTGAAAGAAGCAAGGTAGAGTATAGAGAAAAGAACTGGCGCAAGTTAAATATGAAAAGAAAACAAACTTTCTCTTCATGTTTACTACTGAAAAAATCTTTCATCTAAATCACACATGTGATGACTACAATGTTATGCTTGGTTCCCCTGCCCTCCTCCCCAGATAGATTTAATTTGGAATTGAAGCATGAAATTGAAGCAGGTCCAACTGTGAAAACTGCTAAGCAATAATAGAACAGCTGTTTTCAGATCTTATTATCAAATACAGAGGAAACCTGAAGTGATTCCTCAAAGAGCAAGATTAACAGAAAAACAAAACAGCAGTAATCCAAAGCCCTGAATGTACAATACCATGTCTCCAAGTTCCACGCTTAAGTCTACAGCTGCTCTTCCAGATTCTTCATCGGTTCCATCCAGTTCAAAAGCCTTTTTATAGCAACCACGAGCTCTACTTTTGTCTCCAGCAATATCTCTGTAGTAGTTACCTAAATAACAAAAGACACTTCCCAAGTAGCTGTCCAGTTTTGCAGCCTATAAAGAAATATGAACACAATGTAAGACAGCATTTTGAAAGATTATACTGGTGGACAGGTGCAGTGATAACTACTTGTTCAACTTCTGCTTATCAACTTATTTAAGCTCTTTCTGTGATACATCTGAGTAGCTAAACTTTTAAGATTTCAGAGATTACTTCAGCTTTAAATATTTGCAGAATCTGCTACATACCTCATGACAAAAAGCATTTTGTACATGAAGTACTAACAAGCTACTTGTGCTAGGAAAAAACAGTTTTGTGACACCCCATTATTTTCATATTCTACACCGTTACAACCATTATGCTCATACTTTTACCACATTACATCACAATTTACACCAGACTTTCCTAAAGTTTAAGTTCCTTTTTAGATACACTTGGCAGATTTGTTTATACTTAAGAAACCCACAGCCCCCAAGCAGCAGAAAACAGCTTTGACAATAAAAAAAAGCTCACATAAAACTGTTCAGAAACAAAAGTATTGTTCACTTCAACTACATTCTCCAGTATACTCTGCTGTTACTGAAATGCAAACAGTAGGCAATGATTTGAGTTGCCAACACCTATCATGAACATATATGGTGAGTTTATAATGTCTAGAGTCTTATTTTGTATACTTCCATGTTCCTAATAAAGATGACAGACTAAGTCTTTTGGATTCACATTCTTACCTATTTTCAGGGAAAAAGCCACAACCACGAAAACCCCAAACATCTGGGAAAGTATATAAATTGTGGTCTTTTGCAGACATACCTCCCTGGACAGACATTGAAACTCTAACACCATTTGAATCTTTTTCCCTTCCTCACTTGTTTTCCAATTTGAATTTTGCCCTCCCCATTTCAGAATGTCTTCATAGATCTGTGCTGGTCATCTAGAAGCCTTGACTTTACAGCCCTCAAGAAGAGAAGATTTGAGAAGATCACCACTCCATTTGGCTAAATCAAAGGCCTCAAGAATTAGGTGAAAAGAGGAAAAGAAAAGCAGGGCAATTCCAGGTAACTGCACAGCTCCCTGCAATGCCTTTTTCCACAGCTGAACTTGGTTTACAGGCTCTGGAGGCTTGTAAACAGTAACAAGCAGAATATTCAAGTCTGTCATTCCAGTCAGTGTATTTTCTGTATTTGGTTTCTGATATAGGAAAACACTAACTCTACATGAATAGTTTAAGCAGCTTTTACCTTCAAGAACTGAGTGAGTGCTTTTCCTTTGTCTTTTCTTGTCTCATCACTCATGAACCAGTATGTGAGCCCCAGGTACTGATGATACTCTGCAGTTTCAGCCTTTCTTTCAATAGCATTTAGAAAACTAAATAAAAGGAACAAAGGTCAGATTAGACAGATTCTCAAAAGCTGCAAAACACTATATTCTATTCTCCCCTCACATTTCCCTGTTAATGGAAAGAAAAAAATAAATCTACCTTCTTTCTGCCTGTTCATAGTTCTTTTGGGAATAATGGATGAAACCCTCTAGAGCATGGGACTCAGCCAGATCAGGGTGGGACAACCGAAGCTCTTGTGAAATCTGCAAAAGGATGCCATTTTTCCCTAGTTATTTCCTCTATGAAACCAAGAATTCTACTTAGCTTACAGGAATGACAATACAGCACTAACCTTTGAAGCTTGATCCATTAAACCTTTGTTTAGATAAGCCTGACCTCTGATAGCTAAAACCACTGGATCACTGCTTACATCCGTAATCTAGAAAACCAAGTCATAGACATGACAAAGTTAGTCTCTCCCCAGATTAAGAAATCAAAGGTGTGAAAAGCAGGCAGACTGCATGAGGATAAAGACAAGAAAAACATTTAGAAAGAATACCCTTGAGAAGCCTTAGACAGAATAATTTTGATGGAGAACAGGTAGAAGATTGTAGAGAGCAAGGACAAAGCTACAGCAGTCTAAACAGCAAAGAAGAAGTAGTGTACATGAAGCTGAGGCAAAAAAAAGAGAGGCAGCAACTTCTGCTAAAAGCTTAACCATTCGATCTTAAAGTAATATGCTTTTATTTATGACTAATGAAAAGTGCATGAAGGACATGGGGCTTAGGATTATAACAATAATTCAAATTAAGATGAACAACAGCCACAGAACTAGCAAGAACCCAGCAGCTCTGAGAAAGACCAGCCAAGGTCAAAAGTGATAGTTTCTAAAATTAGAATTGTGAATGGAAAAGAGTTGCAGCAAAGCCTAAAACAACCAGAGAAGGAAGGAGTGTTTGGATTACACCATAGTTGGTAGGAGTTGTCTAAACCACACAGAATGTAAAAAGGAGGCAAGGGGAGAAATACACAACTTGGATTTTTAGTACAGAAAGATGAGAGCACTTTTCAACCTTTAAAAAATATACATTTTAGTCAATGAAAATACCTGTTCAAGTGCTTTAATGGCTTCTTCTGCAGCATCAGCACCAGCTATTTTAATCAAAGCCTCTGCTTTCAACTGAAGGATACAGTTCTTCCACTGAAGACTAGGACCCTCAGGAGTTCCAAGAGCCTCAAGAGCTGTTGACAAGAGAAAAGTTTCATCAAGTAAAAATAGAAAAAGGAACTACAAAGAGCACCAGTCTTCACAGTACTTTTAGAATTTTGTTAATTACTATTTTTCAGTCTAATGGAGCACCACTTTGCCTGACAGCTTTTAGTTTCACTTGGTACTAACTAGACCTCACACAGGAAAACAGAACACTTTATTTATCTTCCACATCACTTGCAACTTCACAGATTTCAAAATCTTCTTGTTCTCCAGGCTGGAAAAGGACTTTACAGGCTATTTACTTGTTCTTATATGCTGCATGTTGCATACACTTGATCATCCTTATTAGTAGTCTAGTAACTACTACTACTATTTTCTTTTTGAAAAGGAGTGGATGCATACCAGAACTTCACACAGATTTCACCATGCTGCTCAAGTTCTTAAAGCAACTGCATGGGTGCTCTGTTTCACTAACCATTCCCTTTCGTGTAATTCCTAGTATTTGACTTGCCTGGAAAGCATAGAAGAAGAAAGAAACAGTCCTATTTTTTTGGTAGAAAATGAGGACCTTTCTACTCTCTACTTCAACAAGATTGTAGAATAGCTTTGTGGGAACATTTTTTCCCCACAACCACATGATTTTGCATTTAAGATTATGGACTTTTATTCATTATTTTAACACCTAGTTACCCACCCTGGTAATTTCCTTTTGGAGTTTTGCAGTCTGCTTTGAATAGCAGCAAACTTTATAACTTCATTACTCAATATTCACAAAAGACTAGAAAAGAGCATGAACAACACAGGTACCAGTGAAAATGTTAGGGATACCTCCTTTCAGACTGAAAACAGTTATTACTATACTGTGCTCTAGCTTTTAACTTATTTAAAAAAAACCCCAAAAAACCCAAAAACAACCTGACAAAAAATGCTGCATGCTACAACTCTACCTCTTAACCCAAGGCTGCTTAGTTTCCTTAACAGTCTTGTAAGAGACCTTATAAACTATCACCTGGAAATCAGAGTAGACTATTTCACATCTCCCTTACCATGTGCTTGTAAACTCCTTCACGGATTTTAAAAGAAAAAATTTACTTTACAAAAGCCATGCTGTCTATTCCCCAGAAGAATTTTTCTACATAAATTCCCTGACTCTGTTCTTCCAGTTTTAACTAATTCAACCACTAAACATATCAGACTTGTCAGTGGTTTCCCTGATCTTTCCTAGAACCCTTTTCAAAAGTTAGGGTCATGCAACCTACTGTCAAGCATTTGGGTGCCACGACAGTTTACACAAGCAATTACATAAATCACTTTGTACTTCAGCAATTTCATCTTTATGATCCTCTGTCAATTCCTAGGTTGGTATCTCATAGTTCCTCAAGGCTAATTTTTCTTGTCTTGTTTTATAGAAACTTCTATTAATGCTACAATCACAGACAAGTTGTTTGATGAATCCGCTTAAAAGAAGGGTCATGGTGTAGAAGTCACCCTGAGTTCATCCACACTGAGCACAGATGGGAAGAAGAATCACCTCATTTTCATTCTTTCTACAATTTTTTTTTACCTACTTAGGACTGTTTTCACATTTCCTCCACCCGAATTTATAAGACTTTTGAATCTCCCTTGCTGGCAAGTACTTCCCCTTCCTTTTAATAATTTCCCATGACTGTTTAGCCAATTTTTTTACCTCTTCAGGTCCTTCTTAAGAAGTTTTTCCCTGTCAGAAAAAGTCCCCTTTGGTTATAAATGGTCAGCCATCAGATAATGGCTCTATTCAGACTAGATAGGCATCACTTAGATCATAACAACTGCCCTCATTGCCAGCTAGCACAGATGAAGATTTACACTCACAGTGTGTTTCTTAAGATGCAGTTGTACTATGCAACATTTCCGCATTTTACATTAACTTGATTAAAATCTTGTCTTTTAAGTCTAAACGTGAAGTCTACCAGACTGAAAATTTGTGACACCTATCCTTGTGGTTTCAGGCAATTATCTGCTTTTTGGTGGAGTTGGTCAACCACCAGCTGAAGCAGCACGAACATGCAAACCTTTTAAATACTAACCATCTGGTTCTGATTAGCCAAGTATTTTCTCTTTTCCTGAAACTAAGCAGCATAAGGTGCTTTTCAGCTGTCATAAACCAAGAGAAGCAAGAAGCAGGGGACACCAGCACAAGCCGTGAGACTGTAAAAAGCAAAGGACTGTGCAACTAACTCACACCTACCATGCAAAGGCCACATTGGCTGGACTACAAGTGGTGTACCCTGCAGTTGCTCTTTCAATTAGTGAGCAGTTACCTTGATTGCAGGACAGGACAGCATCCCTGTGATTGTGAATTTTCATCTGTGCCTCTGCCAAATAATGCCATGCTGCTGGACACTGGCTAGTCTTCTGCAAACCTAATAAAAGAGGAGTGTTAAAAAGGCACTAAAAAAAGTTGCGTAGGACTGCAAGGACAATGTAGCTGGCAGATACTTATTACCATATAATGCCATCCAAAACATATTACCAATCAGCTACTAAGACATGCCATTAATTTTTTCTTTGAATCTTACTTTAAACTGTTTTAGACATACAGGCCTCCGTGCAGTAAGGCAAAGACTAAGAATATAAGTTTCTGTTAGGCTTAATTTTGCATACAACATTAGATAAACGGAAAAGAAAAAGGGGAAAAAGTGAAGAAATATACAACACTGGCTTAACGTGTACTTTTGTTTCATAAAGTCCTTCACTTTGATCAGACATTAACATCAGCGTACTGTAGACAGCTTTATAAAGTATTTCTTGGAAACCGGAAAAGGCCTATAGAACTTCAAGAGAGAAAAAAATTATGGCAAGGGTGTTTCAGTGAAACTTCCTGATAAATTTGCCTTAATTAAAGATTCCATAATAAAACTGAATTCGAGTCTTCTGTGTGTGAGAGAGAGGGAGGGAGGGAAGACAGAAAAGGAGGGAGAGAAATAGTGTCTTGAAGCTTCAATGCTTAAGAAGCAAACGCTTGGCTTACTGGAAGAGACATTATTTCCAAGCTTTATACATTTCCTCTGATACCAAGAGCCTCGCCTTATGCATTCTCCCCTTCATGAGCAAAGCATTACATAGAAAAGTGAAAATAAAGAAAATCTTTTGTCAAAAACAGGATGTATGTTTTTGACAAACATCCAATGGTCATTTAATCCAGAAGGATTTGCTTTCCATGGAAGACTTTTTCCTCTTAAGCACCTGAAATTTTTATTTCAGATTTTAGGCAAGACACGTTACTTCACTGTGGCTAAGTCACAGTAGAATAGCGCAGAATATTCAGAACTCCAATTTCAGAAACAATTTTATTCTAAATCTGGGCAAAAGGATGCAGGATATCACAGCATAGCCTGACTGACTCATGATTGCTTAGATCCCAAATGCTTGTTTACCCAGCTTTCTCATAAAGCTGTTTTGATTTTCTGCGGCCAGCACAGCGAGAGTGGAAAGTCCTATTTTCCCACTAGAATACTTACGAATAATTTTCAGAGAGCTTTTCCATTTCAATGCAAGCAAGATAGTTACAGATTAGTAAACCAACCCTTCAGCAAATCTGACTACTGTAAAAAAAAATAATAATCCGCTGATATTTCTCTTTAGATACCCAATATAAGCATTTACCCAATGTAAGTGTTAAAGAGGTCTAAAAATGATGTAACTTTAAAGGGAAGTCATTTTTGTTCAGGTCTAGAAATGCAGTGACCAGATTAGAGAAGCTGCATTATATTTTACTTTATAAATTCCACATTTCTCCATTAATTGCTATTCCTGTTTTTACTGCAGATTTCCCCAATAACAGTCAGATTAAAAAAAGTTTAAAGTTGATCACACTAAAATATTACAGAGCTGACTATAACAGCAATGACAGACTTCAGAAATGTTATACTTAAAGCTGTATTAAAAAAAAAAAAAAAATCAATGCCCAATCACAGAAAGTGTTCAGTATTCTTTTAAAATCTAGCGGGTCTTAGAACTGGCAAAGTACCGTGCAAGTATGAGATTCTCAAAATATCCAGCTTAAACTAGCTGGTGTTCAAGTTATAGACTACTTATACCTCATATTACACATTTACCTTCATTAAGACTCTTAACAGCCTCCTTATATTTCTTTTCTTGGAGGCATTTTACACCAAAACCAATGATGCCTGGACCACTACTTGCATCCATCTCCAAAAGCCTAGAAAAACAGTGCAGGGCCTCTTCCGACAAGGTACCTAGTTTCAGAAAAAAAAATATTTTATGGAGTTTTAGATTTTAAAAATGCAACAGCATATGTTATCTACATAAATATGACCGTTACACTTTCAGCTCAAAGTAATGAATTTATTACCTAAACTTTTTTCCCCAAGATACTACATACTTATCACCCTCCACCCCCAAAATTAACCCCCGAAAACAAGCAGTTATTAAAACACCCAGTTTTTAAGACATTATTAAAAGACCCATTATTAAAGACAATTTAAGGACTCAGTACCACCCAACATGATAAACTGTTAGTCTGAAACCTGAATTTTTAACCACTCGTGTTAAATTATGACAGGTGTACTTCCTTTGTTAATAAAAACTAAATCCTTCATATGCTTTTCCTGTAAGCCCGGCTGAATGCCCACACACCAGAATCTGCCACAAATAAATCAAAACAATTTCCTTCCAGAGTAGGCTTTGTGTACCTGTACCTACAAATTTGTTCTGGCGACCTTGCTGAAACAGTCTTGCTGTGAAACTACATAATTTAATGTCATGGCTTAATTTTAACTGAGGCCACTAACTTTTTACACTTGTGTTTAGCTGTGATTGTAGACTTCGCAGTCCTTGCTTAAAGCAACTGTTGTGACTTGCAGCAACAGTTTCTGAACTATTACTTTCTTTAAAAAACTTACGGACTCATTTGACATAAAGGTTGCCTTTGATTTGCATTTGGTAAAGGTGACTAACAATGCATCTGAGTTACAAGCCCACAAGTCTGGGGCATGAAGGACTATAGTATGGCTGGAATGACTCAGATGTAAACAAACAGCCTTACTAAAACCTAAGCATCACCCTCCCCACCCCAAGATGGCTGTGGGATGGTGAGATATTGTGGGAGCATTGGTATATAAGAACTGTTGCCACCAGATGCTACTTTTCCTTTGGAAAAGGAAACAGTTTCTGCATGTTTCTCTGAACTGTAAAGCATTCTCATGTGGAAATGAGTCTGGGCCTCATTTGTCTTCATCCTTCCAAATCAAAGTGAAAAACTGTCTCTTGTTTTATGTTGCTACAGTATTCCGTGAAGCCTATCTTCAAAACTAGAAAAGGCATTCTTCAACCTAAGCTAAAAGTTACTTCTCTTTATATAACCACAGGGGTTTTTTTTTTACTGATTTTCTTTCCTCGTTTTAAAAAGAAATAAAATCAACTTCTGATGCCTTAAACCATAAAACGAAAGACCAAAATTTAGTAGTTATCTTTGAAAATGCTGAGAAAGTGTCCAACATTATTGCAATATTGTTTAGTGAACTACTTCAAATAGCAATTGTATACTTTCAGATCCCTGTACTATTCAACACACAATGGTTGGGGTTTTTTCCTCAGAGATTCTCCTTTTCTACCTAGAACAAGTACCTAAAAAGATCTGTTTAGTCCCTGTTCAACAAGCATTCTTTTGAAGAAAGTTTCACAAATGTTTGGGTTTTTTTACCAAGAGAGATTTTCTGTGCCAAGAATATACTAAGTGTAGCCTGTCCTCAGCCTTAGAGCACAGGTTAACATTCCCCATTCCCTCTTCTAAGCCTAGGAATCTAACCTTCCTTCATCCGGAGAGGTTGCTTTTGAGTTTTTTAAAATATTATTTCTTTGCAGCTTTGTAGATTGCCAGAGTTGGACTTAACTCACGGATGTTTTTTGACAATTTACAGTCATCACTCAGTTACAGAGCTAGGAAGTAGCAAATCATAGGACTAAACACTTTTCATTTCCAGACAGGCAGAAATATAACATAAAATTAAATAGCGCGCTTGTGCTGGGTCGTGAAGGGTAAAAACTTATAAAAAGATTGTCACACAATTAACTTTAAAAATAATTTAAGCCCCAAATATGTCTAAATCCATCCTACTCACCTGACTGAACAAAATGCAAACAAAGTACTTCTAAAGGATAACTCACAGTAGGATACAAAGTCATCATATCATTACAGGCCATTTCCAACCTAGCCGTTTCATGAGGAAACTTGAAAGGAAAAAAATAAATAGTTATTTGTGTGAATTATCAGATGTGGAATATTACATCTATTCACTGATGAAGATAGATTAATATAACCTTACTTTTGACAAGCACTGAATAAAGTCCTTGTAAAGATTCTGGTGGTCTTCACTGGGAACAGTGTCAGCAGAGTTTACCGCATGTTCAAATGCAGTCAAAAGCTGAAATAAGAAATAATTACAACTGCAACAAGCAATGACTCTAGGAAACTGTTACCTGCATAGAATAGAATAGTTCAGTTGAAAGGGACCTACAACAATCATCTAGTCCACCTGCCTGACCACTTCAGGGCTGACCAAAAGTTAGAACATGTTATTAAGGGCATTGACCACATACCTCTTGACAGGCTTGGGGCATCGACCACCTCTCTAGGAAGCCTGTTCCAGTGTCTGGCCACCCCTTCCATAAAGAAACGTTTCCTAATGTCAAGTCTGAACCTCCTCTGATGCAGCTTTGAACGATACCCACACATCCTGTTGCTGGACACCAGCGAGAATTGCTCAGCACCTCCCTCCCCACATCCCCTCCTCAGAAAGCTGCAGAGAGCTGTAAGGTCACCCTTCAGCCTCCTTTTCTCCAAACTAGACAAACCCAGAGTCCTCAGCCGCTTCTCGTACAACGTGCCTTCCAGCCCTTCCACACTTAAGTGGATAGTTACATGTTATTATCTGGATCCTACTCATTAAGTTTACACTAGTACTGTGAAGACAGAAATTAACAAAACAAGTTCCTTATCGTGAAGTAGTACTTAAATAGGATCCAAAGCACATTAATTGTATACTACCAGACGAAGCAGTAATATACTGTTTCACAACATAAGAAGGGTACAAGGAAGGCAAAATTTCTAAAGGAAGGCAAAATTTCTAAAAACACTGATTCTTCTTCATACCTAATCCCAGTTCAAAGGACTTGGTACCACAAAACCCAGGCTAATCTCCTCTGCAGTTAGCTGTCAGGCCTTCCCCTTGCTCTAGTCTAGAGATCTAGTCTTTTATTTCTTCACTCCTTATATTGAAGAACACAAGCACCACAGAGTGTGTGCTACCAAACAAGCATGCTAAAGAAAAAGTCGTCCAGAGCTTGTCATAAGTAAAGTGCTGAATAGGAGGCTGCCTTCAGTGGCACATCCTTCCGGGTTCTGGTGCTTTACTCAAAACTGCAGTAAAGTGAACCGTAGATTCGCATGTGAAACCCATTCCTGATATTTATGCAACTTTTTTCTTCTTTGAGCTTCTTGTCCCCAAAAAAGAAAGCAGTGCTGCCTGCAGCACCTCTTTTCTATAATAGCTTGTAAAGCATTTGCTTTCTCAAAAAATAGGGATCAATTCAATTTTCTGCTGTCGGAAATTATTTCCATTTATATCTTCTACCTTTCTGGAGCACTGCTATCAATCAGACTGGTGATTAGAAATTTTCATCCTTCCTGTTGAAAGAGGTTCATCTTGCAAGAACAGATAAATCAGCTAAACCAAAATTAACTTTGGCCATAGAGAATACAGGATCAGTGTAACTAATGATCATTCCGTTTGCTCCAGTTAGCTTTGACATTGTCCTAAGAAGTGAGAGCTTAAAATCTACAAGAGAAAGGAAAATTTGAACCCAAACAATGCTTATCTAGGATGAGCACTGTGTACAAAGAAAAGATAAAAAGGCACAAAACTACCTCTTTCATCCTGGGGGGAAAGCCGGGGAGGCATTTCTTGTTTTGAAGAACACCAACACTCTAGACTGTGTCAAAGCTTATGAATGATGCTCATGTGTGATGCTTCTCGTAACATGCAGAGGTAGAGCAATGCATCACTGCACTACAGTGCAAATTTGCACTCCTACAGAACTTAGGAGAAAGTTAATGAAGGAGTTCCAGGATGACCGCTCAGATTTAGGTGCCTTATTCCACCTGAGGCCCATCTCATGCCGCTGCACCCAATGTTTGTGTCAGAAGGTAAAATCACCCACCTTTTCCTAAGAAGCTTAGTACCACTGAACATTAATGAGACGAATAGTCATAAGGTTTACATGGCTTTCAAGGCTTCATTTGAAATCTAGCTGCACGGTGCATATATGTGTGTCTAGATGAGAAGCATTACCGACTGCTTTGTCTTATTATCCTGGTTCTGTGTACTGTCTTTCAGTAACTGGATCATCTTCTTCCAAAGCTGATGAAGCTCTGCCTTTTCTGCACCTTCCTCCTGTTTCATTTGTATTAGTTTCTCCCATGTTTCAGCCACCTGTCAACAGGAACAAATGAACCATGCCATCACTCTTCAAAGAGCTGGAGGTCTGATACACGCTTTCCACTTAGTGTGGACTTCCACCACACTAGGCAGACAACAGAGCAACTTTTAAAGTAACGTCCCAGATGTACCTGCTTTCTGATTAAAGCAATAACAAGTCCCAAACCATTGTGTGCAACCTTGTCTACCTTACATGGCACAGTAAATAAGGGAGGATACACCAAGAGTATGAATTCTGACTCTCTCTCCTGGACGAAATCAACAGTAAAGATAGACCTGAACAGTCCTCCAATAAGCTCTGAAGAAAAAATGGAAGCCTTGCTGGATCTACAGCGCTACGAACAGAAACTGAAGAACAGCAGCAGTGCATGTTGCAATTCCAGTGTGGAAAAATCAACAGAACTAAAAGAGAGAAAATAGGACCCTGAAGCCTAACTTGTGGCTTCCTGTTGCACATAGAGCAAGTCTGCCTTCACATGCTAAACTATTAGCACTGAATTTAGTTTCAGAAACTGGTATACAGAGAGGCTTTGGAGCTAATTAATAGTCTTGAGCCTGATGCTAAGTGATTTGTAAATTTTTTCATTTTCCATTACTGGAGGAAAGCGGAGAAGATGACATGGAGTAAGACCATGCACCACCTTGTAAGAAAGCAACCTTTTTAAAGAGTAAAGAAAGAGTGAACAGCCTAACTGCAAAAATACGTATCCTGTAACATTACTACAGAGATCATAAGCAGCGTTACTGTTGAACCATTCAGGCATTTAAACAGCTCCACCTCGTGGTAAACTGACAAGAGCCATGACTATGCTGACACACTTTGGCTAGGTGCACTGAGGCTTCAGTTGCCCTGGAGTAGCTCTGCACCTCCTTATCACTGTGCATGGAATGCAGGACATAACCCACAGGTAATCGAGTTCAGGTTGTGTACAGATTCCACCTTATCCTCTGGCAGGCAGTATCAGGCACAGTCTAGGAAGGAATCACCACCAATGAAGAGCTAATCAGATACCTAGAACTGGCCAAGCTAGGCCAAGGACACCTGACTCACACATACTGCCATGTAAATGTGCACTTGGGATCATGCTTGACTTCTAGAAATAAAACAGAAGAATGATGTTCCACCCTTTCAGCTTGTATACCAATATTCTTTGTCAAGCTTTGTCAGTTTAATAGAGTGCATCCAAGCCATACACAGTGGAAAAGAAAGGAATATAGTTAAAATCAGTTCTTCCTGGTTATGGTCCACAATGGGATCTTAAGTGGCCTCTGGCCGAAAAGCTTACAGAGTCCTTGCTGAAAAGTAATTAGTTCTCATCAAATGGAAATTTCTTGTTGGAAGGGAGAAAGTGCTCAACCTACCTCTAAATATTTCTTTTCTTGATGATACAGTTGCACAAGCTTGTTACATACATCACACCATTTCTGCTTGTCACCACTAGAAAGAAGGAAGGAAGAAAATTCCACACAAACAAGCTAAGTTTTCCATAAAATAGTATAATGTTTTCCAAATTCTGACAAACAATCTTTAGTAGGTTCAGATGCCAAACTAATATTTAGAATAAATACTATAGTTTACCCAAAATTTTTTATTAATTGCTGCTATAACTGAGTAAAAAAAAAACATTACTTCAAGAGATTGTACTTTTCTTTTTGAACAATCTTCAAATTAAGGAAACCAACTGAACACTCCAGTCAACTACAGTGACAGCTAAGAGCCAGATTTGTTTAGAACTGTAACCGATGTGAATTGGATGACATATTCTGTGATCTTAAAGCAGAGAAAAATAAGCCCACTTATTAATGCAGACAATGACCTATCAGAGCTTAATGCTTCAAGGCAGTGAGTTTAGACAGAAGACATAGAATAACAGAATTCTCTAAACTACGGAACTCAAGTAAAATTATTGCAAGAGTTTTTGCCCTGTAAAAAGGGACAGGATCAAGAAACCTTATACAGGTATGGAAAACCTGAGTAACAAGTGCTGACTGACTGATGTGACAAGGCTTTAAAAAGAAAAAAGCATATCCTATGTACCAGTGATGGCTTTCACTGAACTATAAATCTTAGACGAATTATGGTATTCAGTATCCTTTACCTTTCATAGAGTTCTAAGAGCTTCTGGTAAACATCTGCTAAGTCTCCTTTGACATCTGTTTGGCTGGATTTCTCATATAAATTTGCTAATCCCTTAAAAAAAAAAAAAAAGGCAAGATTTTATGTCAATGGTTACATGTTATGAGAACACTGCAAGTTCTGCCTACCAAATACTCCATTGCCTTCAATGGGGTCAAGTGGTAACATAGAAATCCCTGAGCACAATCTATGCTGATACTTCTGTACAGCCTTCTGAATCCACTTATTTTAAATGAGAAGCTTTCCTCATTTTCTTAACTAATACCAACAACTATTTGAAACTTGTATACATCACATAATCTTGTCTGAGCACTAGACAATATATACAAAGCACACCAAGTCATATGATAAAAGATCTATACCCAAGTATCATACCATCTTGCATAGTAACAGAAAGCCAGAATCCAATTGCAAAAGTGAAGAAATTTCTATACACCTTGAAATCAGACACCAACAGTTACACTTTAAAGAGGTATTTATCTTGAAAATACTAAGAACCTTACTACCTTAGAAAAATATCAATTTTGGTATCAGTCAGACTTATTATGCAACCTTACGCTTCACAAGTCTCCAAATAATGCAACTATATGTTTTAACTATATACTGTTACAAGTTGCCATGCACACACCACCCATCACACAGCTATTTTAAAAGTATACTATTTTTTATAAGTAACAACAACAAAATTCAGTAACAATCCACTCAATGCTGGAAACTGGAAAAATAAGTGACAAGATAAAACATTTTCTCTCCTCTGAGAGAAGCATTGTCAAACGTTTCTTGAGCTACAACCATGGAAATTCCTAAGCACGGATGAATTTACTGTATCTGTTGCAATTCATGTTCTCCCTTGCATGTTGCACTGCTCTAGTCTACACAAGAAATACAAACTTAAATATACCGAAATTAAAGTTCACCCTGCTGTAAATATGTAGCCACCCACATTGGACACACAAATAACATGAACCTCAGCTACTCCAAAGCTTCAGTAGAACTAAGGGCCTCAAGAAAACACGATGCAAGTCTCAACTCTGCTTGGTTCCTATATTTAGCTCCAGTGACACTTTTCAGAGAAAGAAAGTAAATCTAGACACTCACCTGCCATGCCAGTAACTGGTTTGGTTCAAGTTCAATAGCCTTCTTATATGCTCCTTTGGCCTGATCAGGCTGCTCCAACTCAGCAGCTGCCAGGCCAATGAACACCCAAGCATTGTAGTTATTTTTTTCTTGCTTCAAGACCGCCTAGAAATACACAATTTTAAGTGAAAACTGATGAATGAAATGCTTCTTATAGATCCATATATTGAGCTTCATCATTGCAGTTTGGTGAATTATTCTATATGGTAACATTAGAAGTTAAGTAATTTTCAGGAAAAGGTTAAGATTAATAACTTCAGCTTTTCATGCCAGAGAATACTTCACATCTGAACTGTTCTGCCAGTAACCCTATTTGTAGCTCAGCAATTAAAGCACTCCTGTCGAGGTCCAGATTAGAAATGGATTTTTATCTCTATCAGTCTAGACTTAACATTCTTATTGCCACATATAAGCAAATGTAAAAGGAAGGGGAATAAAAGTTATATGTGGGCAACTAACATGAATGATGAAGTTAAATCTGAGAATCAATATCAACTATTACATCACTAAGGTACTCCACACTGTGCATTAATACATAGTTGTAGGGATATGGAAAAAAAAAAACAAAATGTGCAGAAAACATTACATTCCAAGTAAAAAATGAATTACCTTGCAATGTTTTAAGGCTTCCTTATATTCTTTATTTCGTATTGCGTCTCTAGCACTCTTTAATGCTGCCTTCACCTCCTTATTTGACATTGTGGCCACTAAGTAAAAAGAACATATCATCAGTTCTTATAAGAAGATATACTGAATTCAAAACACTATTTATATCCTGCTGTAATTGCACAGAGAGTATTTTAAACACAGAAACATAGTGCAATATGCCAAAACACATACAGCACTAAAAACTGCTGAAACAAATAATATGTGTTGGAGCTTAGCTCCAACACAGGATTAAGTTGATCTAACAAACAGTTACATGATACAAAGTAGCTATCCCAGAACAAAATTTTTGTTAAGGTTTAAGATAAATTTAAATAGGAGAGGTGTTATATGACAGTCCCCTAGTTAAGACTCCAAGGAAAACAGCCTGCATGTAATTTTTTTTTAAAGAAGAATTACTAAACAGTGAACTGTGCTTAAGAGGCATTGAGAACATGTGCTCAAGGGGTTCCTAAGGATCAGAGTTCTTCTTGTGTACTACCTACAGCAGCACCAGGGCCAGCCTGTCACTTACTTATGTCCAGGCATGGTCCACCATGCTCCTCTCCCTTCATACACACTCGTGGCAGACCCTGCTTCCAACTACAGCTGTATAGCAAAAAAGAATAAGCACTTAAGGACACGTCAAAGAGGCATTCATGCTTTTGAAGCATGACATAATCATGTCATGTAATCACTTTGATGCATATGGTAAGTATTTTGCCTCAAATGAACTTTAGAAACACCATAGTCAAAACTGCCTAAATGGGATGAAGCTGAGAAACAACACTGTTGGTGCAGGCACTGAGAAAGTGACAAGCTGAAGAACAAAAAAACCTTTTAGCAGCTGAAAAGCAAAAGATAAAGAATGAGTCAAGGGCCTAGATAAAATAGTAATGAAAGGACAAAGGAAGAAAGCGTATTTCAAAGCTTCCCTCCGTGCCTAAAAAAAAAATAAAGAAATCTGTCAAACTTACACTGCTCAACAGCTCCTGGCGATAAATTTCCTCTCTAGGGGGGCACGGACGCCCGGTCATCACAAACACACACACCCGCTAACATTCCCGAGCCCGAGCTCCATTTTCACCTACAGAGAAAAGGGACACCACGTCAGCGCGGAACCGGGCACCTCGGCGGAGG